CCATGGATGAATGGCTATAAAAGTTGGGAGTTAGCAGAGATGGCTAAATTGACCCTTTTGATCTGAGAAAAGAATATTAAGTACTTTTGTTTCCGCTTGGAAACAGCTCCTGGACTTTGTAGCTTGGGGTGGAAAAAGAAAGAAAAGAAAAGAAACTTTGATTTGGGGTTTGACGGATTGGATTGATTGGCTGTTATAGAAACGGCTAGTTTATACTTATTATGGAAAAGGAAAAAGTTGAGGTTCGATGTTAATGCCTTATTCTACTACAACAGAGGGAGTTGGAAAGTCGATAGCTTTTTTTTTCTTTACCCCCTCCTTCCACCCTTCTCTCTTTTCCCCTTCCCCTCCCCTTTGTTTCCTACTACTTCCTTTTGCATTTTTGTATCTTATACCATAATCCAGGGGTAGGCAACCTTGGCTCTTTTATGACTCGTGGACTTCAACTCCCAGAATTCCTGAGCCAGCCGTGCTGAGGGGACAGGGAGAGGTTTCCAAGCTGAGCCATGCTGGCTCAGGAATTCTGGGAGTTGAAGTCCACCAGTCACGAAGGGGCCAAGGTTGCCTACCCCTGATCTAGGTCTGTCTGTCTGCCTGTCTGTCAATCATCTAGGTCAGGGGTAGGCAACCTTGGCCCTTTTATGACTTGTGGACTTCAACTCCCAGAATTCCTGAGCCAGCATGGCTCAGCTTAGAAACCTCAGCATGGCTGGCTCAGGAATTCTGGGAGTTGAAGTCCACGAGTCATAAAAGAGCCAAGATTGCCTACCCCTGGCCTAGACCATACAGAATAACAAAGCTGGAAGGGACCTTGGAGGTCTTCTAGTCCAGCCCCTGCTCAAGCAGGAGTCCCTAGACCAGGGGTAGGCAACCGTGGCTCTTTTATGACTCATGGACTTCAACTCCTGCATGGCTCAGCCTGGAAACCTCCCCCTTTCCCTTCAGCATGGCTGGCTCAGGAATTCTGGAAGTTGAAGTCCATGAGTCATAAAAGAGCCAAGGTTGCCTACCCCTGATCTAGGTTGGTCAGTCTGTTTGTCTGTCTGTGTGTCAATCATCTAGGTCAGGGGTAGGCAACCTTGGCCCTTTTATGACTCGTGGACTTCAACTCCCAGAATTCCTGAGCCAGCACAGCTCAGCTTGAAAACCTCTCCCTTTCCCCTCAGCATGGCTGGCTCAGGAATTCTGGGAGTTGAAGTCCAGCAGTCCTGAAGGGGCCATAATTCCCCCATGCTGGCTCAGGAATTCTGGGAGTTGAAGTCCACCAGTCATAAAAGAGCCAAGGTCTGCCATAAGCTAATAAAAAATAATATATGAAGATGCAAATGATGACCACTGCATTATGGCCAGTCCTTGACTTACAACAGGGGGCTCCGGGGCATGTCAAAAGGGCAATTCCACAAGAGAGGAATTACAGTACAATTAGTCCTCGACTTTAAGTCCACAAGTCTTAAAGTTGTCAAGGTTGCAGACCCCTGGTCTAGGGGTTAAGGCACTAGAATAGAAAGTGGGGGATTGCGAGTTCTAGTCGCGCTTTAGGCACGGAAGCCGGCTGCGTGACTTTGGGCCAGTCCTCTCTCTCTCTCTCAACCCAACCCACTTTGCAGGGTCGTCGTGGGGAAAATCGGAGAACGGATGGATATATGTTGGGCATGTCTGCCGCCTGGAGTCATTTGCTAGAATAATAAAGGCAGGATCCAAACGGGCAGATAAATAAATAGGCCTCGTCCTTTAATTCTGTGTGGGATAGGGTTGTTTTTTTTTTAACTCCACACTATCTCCATGTTTTTAAACCCCGCTTCAAGCTGCTGCTCTTCCTTGAGGTTCTGGAAAGGCACAGCTGCTCCTAAAGCCTCTATTTCTGCCCTCCAACGCAGGGAGTCACTGTCCCCCAGGTCTTTGGCAAGCCAGCTGGGTGGGAAAAAAAAATTCGACGATTCTGCTTCCACTAAAGCAGTGTTTCCCAAACTTGACAATTTTAAGGCATGAGGACTTCAACTCTCAGAATTCTGGGAGTTGAAGTCCACATGCCTTAAAATTGTCAAGTTTGGGAAACACTGCACTAAAGGGACAGTGGATTTTCCGTATATGCGGGGAAAGGATTATCCTTCCTGTGTGGGCTAGGCCTGGGGTCTCGTCTCCAGGTGTAAGATGAGGCAAGCAGGGCTCCATCCCACCTGCCTATGAGGAAAGAGCTAGGAAGATTGGGGCCTCCCTGGACCAAATATGGACACAGCCTGGTGGACCTCCATTCTATGTTCATTTGATGAGTTAGTAGTTACATCTGCCAGCCAGGTCAGGTGCATAAATTATACAGTCTCAGGGGCCTCCTGTGATAACTACAGGAAGTCCTCTACTTATGACAGTTCTAATAAGAAGAAGAAGAAGAAGAAGAAGAAGAAGAAGAAGAAGAAGAAGAAGAAGAAGAAGAAGAAGAAGAAGAAGAAGAAGAAGAAGAAGAAGAAGAAGAAGAAGAAGAAGAAGAAGAAAGAAGAAGAAGAAGAAGAAGAAGAAGAAGAAGAAGAAGAAGAAGAAGAAGAAGAAGAAGAAGAAGAAGAAGAAGAAGAAGAAGAAGAAGAAGAAGAAGAAGAAGAAGTAGTAGTAGTAGTAGTAGTAGTAGTAGTAGTACCAATAGTAATAGGCGCCTTGGGTGCAATCCCAAACAATTGTTGATAAAACAAAAAAGTCTGGATAGTGGACGTGGCAGTGCCTGGAGACAGCAGAATAGACGAGAAAGAACTGGAGAAGATCACAAAATACAAAGACCTACAAATAGAAATAGAAAGACTGTGGCAAAAGCAAGCAAGGGTAGTACCAATAGTCATAGGCAGTACTTTTTTTCTTAAAAAAAAAAAAAGGTGCCGGAACTCACACACATCATACAACCAGCCTTGCCTACCCTACAAGGTTCCATTTAAAAAAGGTGCCGGAACTCCGTTCTGGGTGTTCTGTGAGAAAAAAAGCTCTGGTAATAGGCACCTTGCGTGCAATCCCAAAACAACTGGAGCACCACTTGAACACCATCGGCATTGACAAATTCACCATTAGTCACTTGCAAAAGGCGGCCTTACTAGGAACCACTTCCATCCTGCGACCATATCTGTAATACCATCAAACATCCACATCTGCTGCCTATCCCAAGTCCTTGGGAAGGACTCGATAGGTAGACAAAAATGCCAAATCCAGTCTGAACATCTGACTGACTGTGCGATGATCCATAATCATCATCATCATCATCATCATCATCATCATAGAAAATGATAAAATTAAACTGCTCTGGGACTTCAGAATTCAAACAGACAAGCACCTGCAACATAACACCCCAGACTTAACAATTGTCGATGAGAAAGACAAAAAAGTCTGGAGAGTGGACGTGGCAGTGCCTGGAGACGGCAGAATAGACGAGAAAGAACTGGAGAAGATAACAAAATACAAAGACCTACAAATAGAAATAGAAAGACTGTGGCAAAAGCAAGCAAGGGTAGTACCAATAGTAATAGGCTCCTTGGGTGCAATCCCAAAACAACTGAGCACCACTTGAACACAATTGGCATTGACAAATTGGCTATTAGTCAATTGCAAAAGGCGGCCTTACTAGGAACTGCTTCCATCCTGCGACGATATCTGTAATACCATCAAACATCCACATCTGTCTATCCCAGGTCCTGGGTAAGGACTCGATAGGTAGACAAAATGCCAAATCCAGTCTGAACATCTGGCTGACTGTGCGATGATCCATAATAATAATAATTTGGAAGGGACCTTGGAGGTCATCTAGTCCAACCCTCTGCTCAGGCAGGAAACCCGATACCATTTCAGACGAGAAAAATCAAAGGAGAAGCTAGTCCCGTTTAACAAACGTGTTCCTAACTTCACTGCAGTGATTCCCTTAACACCTGTGGCCAGGAAGGTCGTAAAATGGGACAAACTGTCTCATTTAGCAACATAAATTTTGGCCTCCATTTTGGTCGTAAGGCCAGGGTTGCCTGTATCTGATATTGAGCGTTTTATCTCCTTCAGAGTTTGTTCTTCTCAGAGTTTAGTCTTCTCTCCCTAAATTCATTCCATCCTGTCGGCTGGCACTTCCAGGAACAGACTGGGTCCTCCTTTAATTGCTCAGTGAATACAGGGGGTGAACGTGGGAAGGGGCTTCGGAGGGGAAGGTTAAGCCTCCTGACTTGGGATACCCATTGGGCAGCCCTTATTTCAGCCCTTATTTCAGATTAAACAGAGCGACTGGAACCACCCTTTAAAGGAAAGGCGTGATTTTTCTCTTACAACTAATAAACAGAGTGACTCTCAGGACTGTCTTGAGCTCCGGAATTTATTTTCTGGCGAGAGTGTCTGTTCAGGTTTACGCAGGGCCCAGATTTTGCTTTTCGGCTGCTGGGCTGGCTGGAAAAACAATATTTTCTTGCTAAACTGCAAGTCATCCAGAGTTCCTGATTTACCTCCCACTTGTTCGGCTTTTGGTTTCAGTACCTTCCCTCCCTCTCTCTCAGCCCCAATACTCTGCACTGTGTAGGAAAGAGAGTTGATTTTTTTTTCTTCTCTTTCTCTCCAGCCCCAAACCATGTTCTGAACAGTTACCCACCTACACAAGCCTGCAAAGGAGGGAAGAAACGGATTTCAATTTCTCTTTCCAGGAGCGTTTCTTTCCTTCTCTCACTCCTTCCATGTTCTTTTCTAGGCTAGCATGAAGAGTGCCCTTCACCCTAGTAAGGTGCCCTTCACTTTCCAACAGCACAAATGCCTCTTCATCCACGTTGCTTGGACTGGCTCCCTCCTCTTTGAGGCTAAAATGCCTTGCCCTTCTCTGGAAACCTGTTAGAGAGCCTCGGTGGACACTCTTGACCATCCAAATCCCCATGCAGAGAGCCTTAGGCTCAACTCTCCCACTAGCAGGCCCCCACCCCCAGGGTTTCTGCGACTAATTCAAAGCAGCCCCAGCGTGAAATCTTTTCTGACTGCCATCAAAGGACCCCCTTCTCTTCTTCTACCTGCTGTCTGCAAAAGCATTCCGACAGACAAATCTGCTTCATTGCATAACCGCTGAAATCGCTTCCTCCTTTTTGAGCTCCCCTCCTACTCCTCCTCCTCCTCCTCGTGCCATTCGCAGCTCCTGATCATTTTGCAACCAGCAATTCTCCGAGGCTGGTTTTTCTACCAAACAGGTACAAAATCCTCCGCATGCTTTCACCCTCTCTTTTCTGGGTCTTCCCCCTTCTCCAAATTCCACTCCCCCATTCTTCTGCTCAGTAACACTTCCGCAACGTCCTGAGTTCCCCTTCTTTGCCAGAAATGCCTCATTAATCGTTCCCACTTGCACGTTCCTCAAGGCGCTTCTCTCGCACCCAAGACCTGTCCTCTGTCCCAACTAAGGCATCATTTCACACAAGGGGGGGTAGGTCTCTGTCCAAAAGCCCACTCCCCTTTCCCACAACCTCTGCGTGCCTCCTAAGAGGCCCACTGCTTGACCTCCAACTTATCTCCCCAATCACGACGCCCAAGAACGTTCTCCTTTATGCCCGTCCATTGAACCTTCAGGACTCCTTTTCATCCCTCCTGCCCATTCGGTTCTCCAACAAAACTCCACAACTCTCTTCCAAAATTTTTACTCGGGATGTGGTCTAATCCTCAAGCTGCCTAATAATGCCCATCGGTCCATATCAGACTATCTCTCTTCATGCCGCATCACGTTCTTTAGAAGCAGATTTCTCCCAAAAAACAAACAAAAAACCCACCTCTTCTCCCATCTCCTCCCAGATAATGTCCCCCTGTAAACCCATCCCTTCTCTCCCAGAAGGAGATGTCCCTGGAATATCTGTTAGGACTCTTTGATCCAGGAAGGAATTAGACCAGTGGTCCCCAACCCTGTGTCCATGGACCGTACTGGGCCACGGCATGCCAGCAACCGGTCCGCACAAACAAGCAAAGCCCCATCCAAGGGATGCAGGCAGCACACAAACCACGCACCCTCCGGTCCATGGAAAAACCTCTCTCCGTGGAATTGGTCCCTGGTGCCCAAAAGGCTGGGGGGGGGGTCTCTGAATTAGACCCCCTCTTGCAGGAGACGATGGATGGACTAGACTCCCTAACCTATCCCGAGAGTATCTGTCAGAGGAAAGGGTGATGGGTATTCCCCCCCCCCAGCAAACTGACCCCAATTTAGGTCATAGGGACAAACTCGTGCCGAGATACGGAACCGATGAGCATCTCAAGGGCTGGGAACCACCATGCAAAAGGGGCAATTTTGCAGTAAGGGGAGCAGGCCTTTGCACACCTCGGAGGAAGAGAGTATGGGGAGCCCAGCTAGGATGCGCTTCTCCCCACCAAGCCCAGGATTATGTAAGCGTTGCCATCAGGCACAGGCTAGGAATGGCAGGATGGAGAGCCAGCCTCAACCAGAAGGGAGCAACTGTGGTAAGCAGCGGAGAGAGCCAGCCAGCCAGCCTCCTGCCTCCTGGCTGCAGCCACCCGGGGCCACCTGCTCCATCCCAGCCAGGCAACCCCCCCCCCTTTTTTTAAGGGTCGTATGCAAGGAGGTGGCAGAGGGAGTTGATGGCAAGCGCAGAGCAAGGAAGGATCGAGCAAGCCCTCCCCCATCATCATCATCCTCCCCCACCCCAACCATCGCAGCCTCGGCTCCCGCAGCCCCCTTCCTCCCCAACCTGGTGCCCTCCAGGTGCAACCATCCTCCCCAGCATCTCCATCCTCCACCCCCTCTTTTTTTGGGGGGGGGAGGGAAGAGACACGGGGAATGCTCGCCCATCGGGAAAGCAGATCCAACCCTCAGCTGCGAGCTGACAGACACGCCAAACCAGAAGAAGGAAGCCACGGAGGGGGGGGGAGAGAGAGAGAGAGAGAGAGAGCGCGTTCCGACGTGCAGATGCGTGTCGCGGGCAAAGAGGTCGTGAGGACGCCCCTTCCCGGATGCATCCCGCGAGTCCAAGGTGGGGAAGGCCCGCTCGGAGGGAGGGGGGGCGACTCGGTTGGTACCTGCTCCACACGGACCGCGCTGCTCCGCCGGGGCCCGGCTGCTCCCCTCGGCAGGGGCCGGCTGCGTGGACGGCGCTCGGGACGGGGCTGCCTCCGGGGCGCTGCGGGGCGTCCGGCGCGGCCACGACTCGCGAGGGGGCGGCAGGAGCGACGACGGGCCACCAGCGGCGAAGGGCGCTTTATACCCTCGACTCCTCGGAAACCGTCTCCGCGCAACGCTTCCGCTTCCGCCCCGCCCTCGCGCCCGCCCGCTCAGGAATATGCACACAGGGGGGCGGGGCGGGGGGCGCGGACTAGGCGCGCGGCCAATGAGGGGGCGGGGAGGGCGCCTTCTTTCTCCCCCCCCCACCCCGCGCCTCAAGCGCGCCCTGATTGGTCGCGTGAGCGCGCGAAGGTGAGCGATCCTGAGGAGCCGATGACGTCACCGCGCGGGAAGGTGAAGGAGGTGCGGCGGCGGAGAGGAAAAAGGGCGGGCGCGGCACGCGGCCGACTCGAGCCCCCCCCCCACGCCGGGCGGCCAACCTCGCGGGGTCGTTGTGAGGAGGGCGGAGGAGAGGTTCCTCCGCAGGGGTTTGGGGATCTTTGGGAGACAAGCGGGAGATCAGGGCATCCCCATCCAAGGGGGGGGCTTTAAATCCAGGTCAACGTTATTCAGTTTTAGTCCTGGACTTCCGGCCGTCATTGAGCCCAACATTTAGGTTGCTAAGTGAGACGGTTGTTCACGGAGATTTGCCCCGTTTTACGACCTTCCTTGCCACGGTTGTTAAGGGAAACACTCCATCACTGGAGATTTTTAAGAAGAGACTGGACGTTCACCTGTCTGAGACGGTGTAGGTTCTCCTGCTGGAGCAGGGGGCTGGACTAGAGGACCTCCAAGGTCCCTTCCAGCTCTATTCTGATTTATTGATTGATTGATAATCAAGGAAAGAAGCAACCTCAAGTTAAGGAGGAAATCCCTAACAGTGAGGACAATTAACCAGCGGAACAGCTTGCCACCAGAAATCGTGAGCACTCCATCACTGGAAGTTTTTAAGAAGAGACTGGACAGTCACTTGTCTGAGATGGTATGGGTTCTCCTGCTGGAGCAGGCGGCTGGACTAGAAGACCTCCAAGGTCCCTTCCAGCTCTATTCTATTCTAGTGGCCCAGCTGTGGGGTGAATCTGGCTTCCCCACTGAATTTGCCGGTCAGAAGGTGGCCAAAGGGGCATCACTTGAACCGAGGACCCTGCAGCCGTCATAAATAGGAGTCAGTGGCCAAGCACTTGAATGCCACATCATGTGATCGTGAAGATGCTGCCAGGGTTGTGTGTGTGGGTGTGAAAAACGGCCACAAGTCACTTTTTTCAGTGAGGTTGTAACTTTGAACGGTCACTAGAGGAACTGTTGTAAGTCGAGCACTACCTGCACTGTAGTCCCTCTCCTATGGAATTGCCGTTTTGACATGCCCTGGAACCCCCTGAGCAAGTTTCAAAAATGGATTGGACAACTTTGGAGTCAAGTTGTCCAATCCATTTTTGGAGGTGCTTTTTTCAGGAGGCAACTGGGCTTTCTTTGTTTTTTCTTCTCATCCCAGAGGCTTCTTCAGGTCTGACTGGAGGGTGGGGAAAATCGAAGGATTTACACTCCTTGCAGACAGCTGGTCATTTGCTTCTTTTTAGAGAGTTGTTTATTTATTTTATTTATGAGACTTATATACCGCTTTAAGTGCAAGCACTCTCTAAGCCGTGTACACCAGTAAGCAAGGTATATATATATTTACATTGCCCCCAACAATCTGGGTCCTCATTTTACCTACCTCGGAAGGATGGAAGGCTGAGTCAACCTTGAGCCAGTGAGATTTGAACCACTGACCTGCTGAACACAGTCAGCTAAAGTGGCCTGCAGTACTGGTTTATCTCTCTGCAAGGAGTACAAATCCTCCCATTCCCCTACCATCCGGTCAGAGCTGAAGAAGCTTCTTGGATGAGAAGCGAAATGTCTTCAAAGAAAAACAAGAAAGTCCAGTTGGTAGCCAAAGAAAATCCAGTTGGTAGCCAAGACGATGAAGCAATTACAGGAAGTCCTCAACACACAGCCACAATTGAGCCCAAAATTTATGTCGGTAAGCAAAACATTTGTTAAGTGAGTTTTGACCATTTTATGACTTTTCCTGTCACAGTGGTGAGTAGTGCAACCCGAGGACACAGACAAGCCTCCAAGTGGCCTCAACGACTCACTTAAAGAGTGCAAATGACCAGCTATCCGCAAGGAATATAAATCCTTCCATTCCCCACCATCCAGTCAGAGCTGAGAAAGCTTCTTGGATGAGAAGCGAAACATCTTCAAAGAAAAACAAAGAAAGTCCAGTTGCCTCCTGAAAAAGCATCTTTGGGATAACCGTGACCGGGATGACTGAGAATCTCCATAGACAGCTTTGTGGAGGATCACTGTCCTGCGGCTAATCGGCATGGATATTGATCTACATGAGAAAAATTCTTCCAGGAGATTCCCTTCCTGGGGGGGGGGGTGTCTCCCACTGCTGGGTGAGACCCCCACCTTTGGGTCAGGTGCGGGACAGCTCATCGTGTACAAATTTAGCACCTGAAGACTGTACATGCAAGTCCTTGGCTTACGACCACAGTGGGGTCTGCCGCAAGGCAAAGCGGGCCAGGTTGTTCACCAGAGCACCAGAGGGAGCGACGAGAAACAATGGTTGGAAACGGATCAAAGAGAGAAGCAACCTGGAATTAAGGAGAAACTTCCTGACTGTGAGGACAATTAACCAGTGGAACAGCTGGCCTCCAGAAATTGTGGGTGCTCCATCATTGGAGGTGTTTAAGAAGAGACTGGACAGTCACTTATCTGAGATGGTGTAGATTCTCCTGCTTGAGCGGGGGGCTGGACTAGGAGACCTCCAAGGTCCCTTCCAGCTCTATTCTATTCTATAATGTAGCCCAGCATTTCTGTTGCTAAGCCAGGCGTATCGTGAGTTTTGCTGCATTTTATGTCCCTTTTGCCACAGTTGTTAAGTGAGTCACTGCAGTTTAAGAGAATCGTGCAGTCATTAAGGGGATCTGGCTTCCCCCGTTAACTTGGCTTGTTGGAAGCCACGGTTACAAATGGGGATCACGTGACCCCGGGACAGTCCAACCATCATAAAATATATGCCCGTATTTATTTATTTAATTAATTAATTTTATTTATATGCCGCCCAATCCCAAAGGACTCAGGGCGGCGTACAAAATTAAAACAATCATCTAAGAATAAAACAATAAAATAATACAATTGTACCGCAAGTCCGATCATATCCCGCCCCCCCCCCTGGGGACATCAGCCCCAGGCCTGACGGAACAGGAGAGTTTTAACGGCTTTCTTAAAGGCCGGCAAGGTGGGAGTAGTTCGAACCTCGGGGGGAAGCTGATTCCACCAGGGCGGAGCCACCACAGAAAAGGCCCTTCCGCGAGGGCCCGCCAGCCGACATTGTCTGGCCGACGGGACCTGAAGGAGGCCCAATCTATGGGACCTCACCGATCTCTGGGAGCTGTGTGGCAGAATGCGGTCCTGTAAGTAACCTGGCCCTATGCCATGAAGGGCTTTGAAGGTGATGACCAACACCTTGAATTGCGTCCGGAGACCCACAGGAAGCCAGTGCAGCTTGCGGAGGATAGGTGACACGTGGGTGTACCTTGGCGCGCCCACAATTGCTCTCGCGGCTGCGTTCTGAACCAACTGCAGCCTCCGAACGCCCTTCAAGGGTAGCCCTATGTAGAGCGCATTACAGTAATCCAGTCTTGAGGTGACAAGGGCATGAGTGACTGTGAGTAAAGCCTCTCTGTCCAGATAAGGCCGCAACTAGTGCACCAGGCGAACCTGGGCAAAGGTCCCCCTGGCCACAGCCGATAGATGTTGTTCCAAATTTAGCTGTGAGTCCAGGAGGACACCCAAGTTGCGTGCCTGCACTGAGGGAGGTAAATTTGCCTCCCCCAGGACTAAAGATGGACCATCCAGTTGGCCTTTGGGAGGTAAGACCCAGAGCCACCCGGTCTTGTCAGGGTTGAGTCTAAGCCTGTTCACCCCCATCCAGACCCTCACATCTTCCAGGCACCGGCACATCACGTATTCAAGTGTCTACAGGTAATGGAGCCCAAAATGATCTGTTGCTAAGCGAGACATT